GTTTCACAAAAAAATCCTTTTTTCTCGTATGAATAATGTATATATAGGAGTAATTTGGACTTGATTGGAACATTTGATACTCACCGCTAACGAGAGATTAATTAGGCGTCTAGTTGTAAATATCCCCAAGCTRGGGTTGTCAATAATTGGCACAATACGTCTCCAAGCTTAGTACTATTCCAATTTTGTAGTAGCTTGAGGGAAATGTGGGATGGTCTATAAAATCACTTCGTTGTTTTCACAGTTCATACATTTTATAAAGATCTTCTTCGTTTTGGTACAAAAGAAAGCATTTTACAGTATGTAGAATTTACTTCTTCACAATATGGAGTCAATATCAATTTTTCTTGATATTTCAACCAATTCTTTCCTCTGGACTTCTCTTTGTYTCTTGTATACATTGAAGTATTAATAGGGTGTTGCTTGAGAGAAGTAGTCGTCACATCACTAATATATTTTAATAAAGTATTTATAGCTAAGATAGATCTTAGACTTCTTTTTTCCCTTCTTTTTCTTTATTTTTACTTTTTCTTTCATTCTCCTTTTCTTTTCCTTTTTCTTGTCTTTTTCCCCTTTTTATTGTTTTTCACGAGATATTTCCAGAYATCTCTACACTGTTATTAAGTTTACTTGGTGGAGTAATTTTAAAGAGAGTTATATCCACTCTAAAAGGCGAGWAATTTTACTCCACAAGTTAAATCAACTCGAAAAGAGAGTCAAAACTACTTCAAAAAGGCGTTCAAAATAGCTCTTTGAAGAGGACTCGAAATTACTTCCCCTAGTGGTGCAGTTAAAATTGGTGTAGAGGTAAATCTACTTCAGAAAAAGAGTTATCTGGTACCATTTTTGTAACTCCACTTTTGGAGTTATTTCAACTCCTTAAAAATAATAATCTAGTCAATCCATAATCATTAATCCTGAATAGCTGTAGAAGTCCCTTCAAGCACTAAACTTTGTCAGATCTCAAAAAATGCAAGTTACTCATGGAAGTAGGTGGATCACGATTTCCAGCTAATTGCTCGAAGTTTTCTTTAGCGTTCATAATAACAAGCCTCCACCCTCGGGAACTGCCAGGGGGTAATCTTCAGTTGTCGGTCATTCCCGTGCATTAAAAAGTAACCAGCGAACTATTAAATGATATAGACCAGCGGCAATTTTAATCTAGAATAGGCTCTGACAGATATCGTACGTACCCAGGTATATGGAATGAAGAACAACTCACCAAAAGATTGCCCCTGAGTCGCGAAGGATTGCTCATTCCATAATTTATCTTTGACATTTGTTTTTAGATATACTTCTTTCTATGGGTGCAGAGCTGGAAGTGTCGCCCCTTTCTAGTGCAATTCCACCAGGTATAACAGTGCTTAAAACATCAAATCCGTGGGAGRTATTTGGAGTTTATTGCAGTCAGACTATGATACCACGAGGGGCAAGATTTGGTCCATTTACAGGGAAAGTTGTTCTGCCTGAG